TTGGAGCCGTTCGTGGTCGTCCGGTCCTCTGATCCTTCGCTATATCTTGATATCATCAGCAAAAAACAGGGAATCGAAAGCAACTGACCTTGCCAGATCGTTAATGAACAACAAGGATAGACGGGGTCCAAGCATCGAGGCTTGTGGTACACCACAACCCACATCGATTGCATTGGATAATGCTTATCAGACTCACCTCTAGCTGTCGTTCGTGTAGAAAATTGCTAATTCAACCCAGGATTGGGTGGCTAATGCCGAAGCTTCCGAAGGAGAATTCGATGGTCTAAGCGATCAAACGCTTTTGAAAAGTTCAGGTAGATAACATCGACTCCTGCTCCATCATCAACAGCTTCAGTCCAGCTATTACGTGTAATTAACAGGTTAGTATTACATGAACGCTTTTGAAGAAAGCCATCTTACTCTGGCACTATTCAGTTGTGACTTTCCAGATACTGCATCAGCGCATCTGTGATTATTTATTCCATAAATTTAGATAGTAAAGGAAATAGTCTTATTGGACGGTAGTTTGCAGGGTCAGTGCGGCTACCTCCTTAATGGATAGGAGTGATGACCCCTCACTTCCATACTGGTGGAAAATGGTTCTTTTCTAATCATCGCTGAAAGAAAACAGCCAGTGGTTCTGCTAGATCACTAGCTACCGCCTGCAGAGCCTTTGGTCGGATGTTGTCGACTTCGGGAGAACTGTGGATATGCAAGGAAAACAACTTCAACACAGCTTCCGCAGTGAAGGTGATATTGCCTAAACCCGATGGTGGTGTAATAGAAATGAGGAGAATTTTTGGGCTCGTCATCTACTGGAAAGTTTGGGAGTAATAAAGTTGTTAGAGATCAGCTGCTTCCATTGCTGATCTCGTGCACCCATCAGGCGTGACTAGTGCAGGTATCGCCGCTCCACATTTCGAAGGTCGTTAATGTGCCCGTGCAGAAGTTTGCGGTTCAGGCAGAATCGCTTAACTAACTCCCGTTGATGCGTGACCTTGTCTTCGCGGATGTGTTTCACACAGAAGTTACAGTGTGTCGCGTATGCAGTCCAGGTTACGGCATTCGGGCAATCCTGGTGATTTCGCCATGCCAAATCCCTCGGGGACATACATTTACGTGTTCTGCTCCTCAGAAATGACTTATGCTTGTTTTGGGTTAGAAGAACTTCTGTTCCGATGCGTGCGCAACTAGTGTGCTAAACGTCATTGTAAGGGTTTCCCAGGCAACATCTGAGGGCATTCGGTTAAGAAAGTCCAAGCTTTATGCTTAACAAGCGTAGATAACACATTATAGTGCGTGACAGTATGCACTTTAGCATCCTCCTTTTCAGGATACTCCGCATAGCATATATAGTCAAATAGTAGAGTATCATGGTCACTACGATCCAGTGGTGTGCTTGTAACTATCCCGTCAACCATGAGTTCTTTGTTAGTTAGTACAAGATCCAGTATCGATGGCTTGTTAGCTGTTCGAAATCTGGTGGGAGAGGTTAAGTGGTTGTACAGAGAGTGGCTAGAAATTAGCTCTTGCAAGCATGCTTTAAACTGTGTTTCGTCGGTTGCCGGCGTTTCTATATTGTGCACGTTAGTCTCCAGCGATAAGAACGTGGGTGTAGGATTTGTTCAAAGCAAACTGAAACACGTGGTTCAGTTTGGAGTTCATTTCCGACGTTGAGTTTGGTGGGCGGTAAAGCACGACTAGTAGACATGTGTTCTTGTTTCGCAACCATAGGCGGCACCAAATCGAATCAGGAGCTCGGATTTCAGGGTGCTCGATAACTTCACATCTGAGGTTTGTATTATAGTGAAGAATCACACCGCCGCCTCTTCCAGTGCTACCGTTTCGAAGCAGCGACGTGCGGGGTAAATTGATCTTTGAATCGGTTATCTTAAGGTTTAACCATTTCTCTGTAATCATGCCGAGGTCCCGCGGTTGTGAGGCATGGAGTTCTCTAAGTTCGGCCAACTTACTTGGAAAACCTTTGGCGTTTATGTACATACAAGATAGGGTTTTTTGTTGTTAGGAGTGCGTTGATGGATGACAACTTTGTGTTAGTTTTTAAGCCGACCGTTAGGTGGCCGGCCATTAATCGTGTTTTGGTTTATGAAATTCAGTCAAGTTACATGGTATTGAGTGTTGCTGAACAGACGTTTCACTCTTGGTGTGCTCTGTCCTGTTGTGTGCCGTGGGTGCTTTTGTGTCGGTCTCTTCGCAGGACAGTGCATATGAAGAATTTGTAGCGTTTGCAAGTTTCATCGAATTGCTTACTACTCTTGGCCGTTCGTCTGCTGCCTTTAGCCGGATCTCCGTTGGCAACCTAGCTCGAAACTTTAACTAGTTATCCAACAGGACTTGTGTCATTCCTTCGGAGTGTACTTTCATTAGTCTTGGACCGCAGCCCTTGGAGTTAGGTGATGAAGGAACTCTTGTCAAGGATTCGGCAACAACATTGTCAACAGAGAGTGCTTCGCGGATGTAGCACCACTGCTCTCGGTCATGTGTTTGCGCATCGTGATCAGAAGAATGCAGCACCATGGACAAATATCGTTTTCTTGCTATCCCTATTAGAAATGCCGCATTGGTTACCTGTTTCTTTTGGGCGATCTTTCCAAGGTAGATCGGGTAATACGCGCAATCAACTCGGTGAGTTGCAAAGACGAACTACTGAGAGCAGGACAGCCTCTGTCGCATCTGCTGCGTCTAGTGTTACTCGAAGAATTCGAGGTTCACCAAAGTGCACTGAGGTCGGGTGACGCGCTACACGTTGCAGCATAGCGGGCTCAACCCGAATACCAATGGTATCACAGATGGAACTCCACTGGTTGCGATCGTCTTGCAACTTGCCTTTTATTATGCCAGAACATTGGTGCACACGAGAGTTAACGCAACGTGGTTTTGTCTAGAGAGTGTCGGCTTTATAATTTTGTCGGCAATTTGGGCTGTTTAGAAGGCACCACTGGAGTTGACGGTGAAAACTGTGTTGCTCCACGTGTGCTCAGTATAGAAGATGGACCTACATGTGTCGCTCCCGGTGTGTTTGTCTAGGCAATCGATGTGTACATTACCTGCTTGTTATCTACACCGGACTGCCTTCGTCTCTGTGCTGTAGGAGACACGGCTGAATCTCCGGGTGAAGCGTCTATGATTGGAGAAGTGGAAGCAGGCATGTTTGAGGCTTATCCGCTTATGGGAGTGAGGTAACCCAGTGGATTTAGAGTCACAGACGCTGCAGTGCGGTTGGTGTGTCTAGTTCTATTCTTCAGCTTAGATTCAGAGCTTACTTTATCTGGCTGAGGTATTAGCGTAGCCATATTTACCTCCTTGGGATCGATCATAGTATGTACAAAATGCGTGATTATCTCAGACATTCTATCGCACTTTTTCATGAGCAAAGATAACCAGTTGACAACTGGAATGACTTGACATGTTGGACAAAACCAAATTGTATCAGCAACTTTGTTTGTCTGTCTCACTTCTTGGACGGCTTTGCCTACACATTGCGGACGGTATGATCTAGTGCAGCTAGAACAGGTTACTGCGATGTTAGGACTTTACTGCAATTATCTGCGCAACATAGGCGACATTGAACCATTGTAATGCTAGTCATTCTTTTATCGCTTGCAGCAAGGCCTATCTGAGCGCTCACCTTGATGAGTGTTCTTTAAGCCAGGCATGACACACAAACACGTCAAAACGCGCGCACGAATTGGGAGTTGTTCAATCGCACCAAGGCCAGGCGGTCGAGACAGATAGAGGTGGTAAGGCGCGGACTGTTGGGTTCAGCGATCAATGGACTTGCAGTTGAACACGCACACCCACACAGAGCGGAAGCGTATGTTGATCGGCCTGCCCTAAGCGCCCGTGCAGATGGAGCGCTGAGAAGCTTCTCTAGAGCTTTCCAGTTGATGAGCGAAGCAAATTGACTGTAACTTTGTTATGCTGCAACTTGCAGGGATGGTTGCCACGTAGTTTGGGAGCCCTCAGATTCTGCTTCCGAATGAGATCAAAATTTTTCCCGAAAAACTCCGGTTTGATGTACAACTCAGCAAAGAATATGCCGAAAAACGGGAACTGGAGCAAGAGTATAATCCACCCAGGTTAGATTCAAGAGTTGGAAAGCACTGAGTAGAGCTCGTCGAACTGGTTGGAACGGACGCACACACAATATTGTGTGGGGAGAATTAGAGCGGCGACAGAGGACAAACCCAGAGCCGAGTTGAAGTGTAGCCGCACAGCACGTAACATGTGCTCCGTACCCAGCGACATGTGTTCCAGTGTCTCGACTAATTCAAAGGAGTCCTTTAGGCAATAGGTGGACAGGAGTTTGCGTACCGGCTCCAACATTTTCGCTATCCACCGCGCAAGGTTGTGATACGGTGAGTTGTTCATACACGTAATCGGGCGCAGTGGGTTACCTGCCTTGTGTAATTTGACTGTATTATGCACATTGTACTGTTGCTGCTCTCCTTAATGACGCAAATTCTACCAATGCTATGTATTGCTCGTACAATCCCAAACTTCACCAACGACCTGCACAGGTAAGAACGCACTTCTCTGGTCCTATAACTTCCACGCCTTAAATATTCATAAATATTAGCGTTACCGCGCATATTGTCCGCGGTTATTGTATGGGTAATGAGCATCGATATCAGATTCCAATTACTTGCATTTGTCTCGATTCTGTGTTAATGACCAGTGTGCATCCGCTCCTCCAAGAGACTCTCGCATATGTACGGATGACTTGCTTCTGACTAAATCTACTAAGTTCAGCCTCCGCCAAGAGCAGCTCCATTTCTTTTTGCTCCCACAGTCGAGAAGCATCGGTAGAAACTAGGGGTATATTGTTGCTGTTGTTGGTGGTAAACATGCGTCCGCGTAGTGCATGGCGGCCCTACTTTAGCCTATTACGCCTTCAACTATCCTTTGTTGGTTTTGGCTTTAGCTGAAGTTGAACTCATTCTGCCATTTCACATTTTGCTCTCTTTTCCACACCCAAGGGAATTTCAATTCTATCGGCCATCGATGATATTCAAGTTCTGCTGGATGATCACATCATCAAAGCGCAGACAATGCGTAGCTCACCGTATATAAAGCCGTTCGAGAAAGAAATGGTGGCTTGGGAAAGCAAGCTCGTCTCCATGACCGACATCTTGGACGTGTGGTTGAAAGTGAGTTAGATCTTACCGCTCCTCTGAGCATACCGGTTAGGCATAGCGAAACGTCACAACTGGATGCCTTTTGTCACGGACGCGAGGTATTTTCTATATGATCGGCCTGTAAATTAGGTTAGGAGTATGTACTCAGAATCTGTTGTCTGTCTGATCACTTTGAGTCGGAAATAGCTTCAGGATTTCTATACGTCAAACTTGAAGACTTACTTTCATGCTAACCGCCACGGAAAATTGTTCACCACCTGTTTTGCATATGAACCCGATTCATTTGATCCATCTACATGCATTGGTTGATTACAAACCAACCTTAAGAGGATGTGCTTTGAATGTATACCGTGGGGTTTCTTCTTCGAATACGCCATCAGGCCCTCTCAATACAACCGTAGTTTGGAGCCGTTTGCAGCATAGTATCGTCCAAAAGGACGCCTAATCGATATAGATCTCGAGGACTACAAATCATGTTTACATTAAGGTGATCACAAGCGGACTCTGTCTGACAGTCCGTGAGATCTAAACAAGTTCCGAACAGTCATTTCGTCGCAACGAGACTGGACCTTAACGTGGTGTGACGGTTTGCGTACCTCATTGACCCATTGAGCTATACTGGGTGATGCCTCCGAGCATCTTGAGAGCTACTCCTATCAGGTTGGTCAATGGTGAGAGGTCAGACAAACTCAGTCTCCTGGTCCTCCAGGTTGGGGGTTTGAAATGGGATGGCGTCCATTTCTGTAAAACTAAATCACTGCCACCCCTCTGCCTTGCGGACAGGCTTTTGAGCCAAAGGCTTTGGATGAGGACCCTAATCGTTCTCCTGTCTAGGTCTGGGCGCCCTGGCAGTATCCCAGCCCACATACAACCATGACAATTTCTTCAAACATAAACTTCATCCAGCGTGATAGGTCCTTGACAGCAGGCGACGATGTGTGGCTCCTTCCTTTCTTACTCCCATCCCGGCCCCCCATTACTAACCTTCCTTCTATAATTCCCAGCTTAATGACGAATGGGAAACATTGCAGTCCAGTTCGCAAATCCTAAACGCGTCCTCCAGCGACAGTCGTGAAACAGGTCAGCAGGCTGCACTCGCACGCACCTTGGACACACTGGGTGTTGATGTGTGTTGTGTGTCCGAAAACTAGGATTAATGACCCTAACGGGGTTATTGAATTGACTGCACCGGGTATCTCATTTCGTCTGCTCGACGGGGGCCTCCAAACGGCTCTCCGACGATTGTGTGACAGCAGCTGAAACCGTGAGATTTGGTAGACCTTGGTGGTCGATGCGAACCATAAGCTTGACATAATGTGGTGACCTCGGTACATCATTGCCATAGACTTTACTGTTGCGTGGAAGACAGATGAACTACGGTCACACCGGACACCGTTACTGGCACTGCCTTGGTCAGTGTCTCTCAATAAAAAGGATCTGATTTCGGGGCACTACAAGAACGCGTCGGTTTTTCATTGGTTTTCAGGACTTGTAGGGACTGATTCCTTCTTAAACGCCTGTTGATTATCCCGCGAGGTGCTATAATGATGCATGGTGCTCATATAGCACTACAAAAGGACTTTGACCAGGTTTACTTGCTGTCGCCTCAGAATATGCTCTAGTGTGATGTGAACAGTCAGCGAATAAATAAGTGCCAGTTCGGGGAGAAGACTTTATAGCGCATATCTTCTAACACTGATCTCAGGGTGCCCATACAAGGGGTTGCCGTTGTTCGAGACAAATCTAAATACATAGATAAAAACTTACCAACTCTTCGTTGTCTCATTGGGTCACTCGGCCAAGTCCATCCGTCAATCCGTTACCCAATGTTGGATGCAAATATGCCGTCCCACTCTGAGCATGACATTCAGTTCTGGCTGTCTTAACTGAGGGCAACTATTCAGATTCCTCTGTGGTATGTGAGTAAAAGTAGGGTGAAACCAATCTCACCTTCCGTACGACAAGACGCTAAGAGCATTGTGTTCGTTCGGTTGATTTTACTATCAATTGCGTGGCGACCCCACACTAACAACTGCCTCCCAGTTATCCAGATTTTACCTGCCACAGCCTTCCGACACGTGGCCACAACTGGTTCTGAGAGGCTATTTTCTGAAGTTATCTGAGTAGCAGGATAGCCTTGATCGTCACCGCAACATTTCTCTACTCGTAAGTCGGCAAGTAAATGATTTTCCAGCAACAGTTGTGCATAACTCAAGTTTGTAGGTGTTCTAGAAGAGATTCGATGTTAAAATCATATCAGGCAATGTCCTAACGAGGACGACTCTTCCAGCGCAGCACTCACCAGCCATAACTAGGATTTCCACGCAGACAAATATTGTGGGCCTGTTGACGCGTGTATTCTGGCATTTACAGTTCCTATCCTGAACAACCCTAGGGACCTGTTGGACCTTTGTTTATTTGCTTATAACAAACGATTGAGTTGACCTGATTTTTTACTGAAGTTAACTGTGTTCTCGAGAATTATCATCTTGACTCTGTACTGGACTGCTATCCGGTCAAACGACGCTCGGCAAGCGTTGCTGTTCCAAACATGTTCATACACTGCACATTGAGATTTAACCATTTTACTCAACACTTATTGGACAGATCAGACGTACTTCAGTCTGCCGACTTCCCTTCATTTTCACTCATCTGCATTCCCAGCAGCAGCAGTACGTCAGCGTTATTTGAACTGTTGCTTCGCTGCTCTACAACCATTAAGAATAATAAAAAGAGGGAGACAAAGGGGAGTTAGCGTAAAACCTTAATGCCCAATGCGGACACTCAGGATCAAGGCGCCTATACCTTGTGTCAACAACATACCGTCCCAGACAGCTAGCTACCGTGCAAAGATAATTTACCATCAGCGATAAAGCTTCCTTGCGACTTTCACTGCCCCGCGTTATTATCAGTCACTACCCCACAGATAACACAACACTAAACACACTTTAGACAGGCAATCTGACTACAACAGCAGACAGCCGGTGTCGACTACGAGCCACGTCTTGTACCGTCTCGAGCCAAGCACTAAGCGGGTCACGTGTACTCCAGCCTGGAAGAGCAGACGGATTGACGACATCGAGCTGGGTCGTCAGTGACTTCATTTCCCGCCACCAAGTTAATTTTTGCCCACTTCGAGCCTTGTTCTACCCTACATCTGACAAACAACTCAAGGTCCTCCTCGGTAAGCGATGACCGGACATATGCAGCATGTGCCCAAGCCAACGCAACTTATTCAGTGCTATCTGTTATTCTATGGAACTAGCTTGGTTATCATTGCTTAGTACTCGCTTACGCATATCATCGTTGCTGACACGCTGGTGCCATCTGACAGCAGTAATGCTTCGCAGACGACGATGGTCAACGATTTGAAGGCGCCTCAGTCCGAAGGAGGCCAAGTCCAACTCTCATAGAGGAGGGTGGCCTTCAATTTGGCTTTGTACACACAGCCGTTCAGACCAAGCAAGCCGACTTCGGACGTCATAGATGTCGAGGAAGCAAGAAGACAGTTCTAGCTTTTGTAATACGTAAACTGACTTCTTGACGACACAGCTATGCGGAATTCAGGTGTAAGAACAGTCACGTGTTTGGGGCCCCTCCAGCGAAATCACGCGTGTACCATGCATACTGACGCATTCAGTCAAATGTCTAACTTTAGTAGTAAAGCAGACATTTCAGGAGCGTAGAATCAAGAATCCCTTAACTTAGACCGATTCCCAAGTACGCATACATTCACTTACGTTTCTGTTATTCACGGCTCACTAAATATGGTTTGCCAACTTCAGTTTTCCTTTATACTGAAAGGTTCAAGCGACATGGCTGTATCTGGAGCCGATTTTCTCATCGGAGGATATTCTAGCTCAGATGCCGGAGGAGGGTAGGAAATTTGGCGTTGTCGACGTGTTATGGCGCGAAGTGATGACCGAGACCGCTGTGAATCCGAGCTGCCTCGTGGCCACCGGTCAGCGCGACATGCTACGCCGCTTAACTGACGCTCACATTTTGTTGGAAGAAATTCAGAAAGGATTGAATGATTACCTAGAGAAGAAGCGACTCTACTTTCCTCGGTAGGTTTATATCGTCTGTCTCCATACCCTGATGAAGGCAAAACTGTTGATAACTTCTTGATCAGAACTCCCTAACGCTGTATGTTTTACCAACTGTAGATTCTTCTTCCTATCCAACGATGAACTGCTGGAAATTTTGTCAGAGACTAAAGATCCCCAACGTGTTCAACCACATCTGAAAAAATGCTTCGAAGGTAAGTTTAGTCGGATATTAACTTACCACTGTTTTTTTAGGAATCAGTCGGTTATCATTCACGGAACAGCAAGAAATCGTGGGGATGATTTCGGCCGAGGGAGAAACTGTTCCATTTGTCACTAAAATATACCCAGCCAAGGCGAAGGTTAGAGTGAAATGGATAATATCACTTTTATGCTACCTTTGAGCTTGTCTAGAATCCCAATCTTGAAATTCCTGTAATGGCTGTCAGCGTTTGCCCGTATAAATTAGGACTGAAAAACAGATTATGTGAAGTCCTTCGTGCCAATCACAACCACCCAGTCTAACATTCTTCCCAATGTTGGCGTAGGTGGTACAGAAAAACGACTGAACAGGATAAGTTACCAGATAACCCATATGTGTTTGAAGTTGGATTCCCACTTGAATTTTGCGGTATTCTAAAATATCATCCTGTAATATTACAGTCGTTCCATTTGTTATGCATATAAATTAGCAGTGGTTATTATCTTGTTTGTGATGTCACCACTGACCTACCGACCAGTCTCATTTTCTTCAACGCATATTTCAGGGTATGGTGGAAAAATGGCTTCTTCAAGTGGAGGACGTGATGCTGAGTAGCCTGCGAAAAGTCATAGCAGATAGCGTATACGCCTATTCGGAAACACCAAGAGAGAAGTGGGTCCTTGATTGGCCTGGACAGGTAGGCTGCTTAACAAGTTTGGCTGTCAGTGATTGTTGAGTCTTCATTTTACCCCTGTAATCATTCCGTAGGTTGGTGTAGATTCACTTTAAAACCAGATTTAAGTTTTGGGCATTGGCTGTCACTTACGTTAACTTTTAAAGGAGCCCCACTCATCCCAGCGGGTGGACACATAGTTATGATTTTCCCATGCGTAGACTAGGACCTATTCATGTAAAGGGGTCTCAGTGCACATTATTCCCACTAAACTCATGTGATTCTACTTTGGTAACTCATTTTATACAATACATGAGCAGAGAGGAAGTTGTCATTTTTGTACAAGACAAAATCGCATTGTCATGCCTGCTGCAGTGTTGATCCTCGAGCTGGGTAGATCATTGGGAGACGGGATCGGGTCAATTTGTTGCGAACGCAACGAGGGGCAGACAAGTCATTTAATGGACACATGCCTCGTTAAGACAACAACTCGAACATAGGAACGCGAGTCCAATTTGCGCATGACATTAGCGGCACATTTCCGGAGCGATGCGCCGTTGCAACCTTTCATTCACCGAGCATCTGTTTAGTTTGCCTCGTGTACGTCGTCCGGTTGGTTTTCCACCACATCTCCGTCTGCCGGCGTATCATGATTTACCGTTTCCCTTGTGCGCCTTTGTTGATATCCATACTACTCATAAGTAATGCACCACACCCCTCCCTCCAAAGGGTTCGCGACAGACGACCTCGCACGTAGTCTCTACGATCTTCGAGGCTGTTCCATGCATGTTTTTATTTCCTCTGCTCGTTCATACCATTTCCGCTATTCACTAGCGTGGACTCGCCGCCTATCTCCCTGCCGGGCGATGGTGTATACGGGCCCTCGTCCGCCGATTACTTCATAAGGTCATTCCACTTCGACAAGAGTTTCCTCTCACCGGGATCACATGCGGTCACACGTTGGTGGTTTCTGTATTTCACCTTAGAACCGATTGTGAAATCCATGGACGGTTTTTTCATGTTGACTCGGGAGCTTACCGTCCTGCGGTTCTGAGGTGCGTTCAGATTTCAGTTGGCTAACTTTCTGTCGTTCTGTGCTTCCCTTGGCGGTACCTGGCAAGTCGGCCAAACTCCTATCTCCAGATCTACCGGACGTCGTGGTCTGCGGCCGTACGCTAACTGATGAGAATCTCTGACACTCGGTGCGCTAGCAACAGTAGTGGTAAGGCTTCTTCCCAATATGCCCCTTTCGCCACCAACCATTCTTTAATCGTTCTACTATTCCTCTCCGTTAATCTTTTTGTCTGAGGATGGTAGGGAGTGGTCCACATCTTCTTGATGCCCAGTTTCTCCAAACACGTCCGAAATTCGTCACTTTCAAAGCATGGGCCCTGGTCTGTCAGTATGGCTTTCGGAATCCCGTGACTCGCTATCACGTATTTCATCATGGCACTTGTTATAGTGCATGCGCGTTGATCAGGAATCGCCGCCGCCTCAATCCACTGGGTAAAGTGCCTTGTCATCACCACCATGTACTGATTACTTCGTCTGGTTAACGGGAACGACCCCATTACGTCGATTGACCACAGCTCACCGATCTCGGACACTGGAATCGACAACAAGTTGTGGTGCCCCTTGATTGTCTCCTTTCAGAAGCTGACCCTGCTGACATGAGAGCACGTGCCCATCGACGTCTTTCTTCATGTTCGGCCAGTAAGCTCGCTGTCTAAGCAAATCATATGTCCTGGTGCACCCGGTGTGAGCCATCTCGTGACACGAAATAACCAGCTTCTTCCTCAATTTGAATGGGATCACTGGCACCGGCGTAGCGTCGCGTCCTTGGGTCCACATTAGAATTCCGGCTTCCTTGACATGCAGCTTTTCAAGACTTAGTGCGAATGGCCCGAATTGCTGGCTCTGGTTTTTCGTTGCAGTAGTTTGATTCGTTATTCGTGCTGTTATCACTCTGTTCGAAAGTCTGTCCTTCCGTTGTCCAGCCGCTAATTTACTCGGGTCCTGCTCCAGCACTAGACCACCGACACCGAGGGCAACACACGGCAAATCCTCATCGTTCGTCATGCGTGATAGAAAATCTGCCGTCTCGTTGTTTTTCCCCGGTATGTGGTGTATCGTAAAGTCGTATTCTTGTAGGCGCAGCGCGCAACGCGCCAACTTGCCTCTGGGGTCTCTGGATGACCTAATCCATTCCAATGGTTTGTGATCAGTTTCGATGTGAAACCATTGACCCAACAAATGCGTTCGCCACCCGTCTAGAGCCGACACAATTGCAAGACACTCCTTACCCACTGTCGAATACTTGAGTTCTGATGGGGTCAAAATTCCACTAGCGTATTCCACCGTGCCTTACTTCTGCTTCAGTACCGCACCGGTTCCGACGTCGCTTGCGTCGGTGGCCACAGTGAACGTTTCCCTGGAGATCGGCAATTGTAAAGTCAGTTCCTATCTGCCTATCTCCTTCTGAATGTCATCAAACGCTCGCTGAGCCTCTGGTGTCTGTTCCTTCGCCTAACAGCTTATACAAAGGTGAGGTCAAACTGTTAAAATTCCTGATAAATTTACTGGACTATCCCGCGCGGCCCAAAAATGCCCGGAGACTGCGCTTTGAGGTCCGAACTGGAGTGCCGCGGATTGCCAATACTTTCTCCGGCAGTGGCTTGAGTTCACCCTGACCCGCCTTGTGACCAAGCAGTGTCACACACATCTTCCCGATTTGAGATTGCGGCCAATTTATCCGTAATTCAGACTGCGGAATTTTTTGCAGCGTTGCTCCTAAATGACGGTAGTGTTCTGTCTCCGATTCACAACGATGTCGTCGCCGTATACGGTCACATTCTCTAATCCATCCAGTAGTCGCAGCATCAAACACCGGTAGGTAAAACGGGCACCAGATAATCCAAACGGCATCCTTTTAAACTGGTACTGTTTGTCACCGACTGTAAACGCTTTCTCTCGGCCCACTTGTTTGCTCGCCAACTGCCAGTAGCCAGACCTCAGATCTAGTACCGTAAATATCTCTGACTTCTACAGTTTATCAAAAATGTCTGCAACTGAAAGCCCCGGGACCAATCGACTCATCGATATTTCGTTCAACCTTCTGAAGTCCACGCAAAAGCGGTACTTCTCGTTGACTTTCTTCACCAAAATGATTGGAGAGTTATATGGGCTGTGAGCCTCCTCTATTACGCCTGCATTCAGCATCTCCTGCACCTACCTTCTTACCTCAGCCTCCGGGTGTATTGTTACTTTTCTGGGTCCGTGCGACCGACACGCCTGATGGGATAGTGGAATTGTGTGTTCGACCGTCACAAAACCCATAAGGACTACTACCGTCCGTGAATAGGATATCGCACTTGCTCACAAGCGATTGAGGGCCTGGACTTGTGCGTAAAACGGCCACGACCGGGCACACCCTCATGGGTTCTTCGCTGCCAACAAACTGGATAGTTCCATAGTTCGTAACCAGCTTTCCTCGTTTCAGGTCGACGACTGCTTCACTTACTTGGAGAAAGTCAACACCCAGGATAGTCTGCTTTGTGTCCGGCGACACGATGAAGAGATGTTGCAACTTCCGACCCCTAACGCTAACCACATGTTCCGCCATACCATCTATGCGTGTATGGTATCCACGGACCGCCTTCACAACCATGGAACACGATGGAGTTTTCACCCCATCTCTATGATTGATTAAGGAAACTGCGACTCCTGTACCAATCAGACACCTCTCCACTTCCCATTCACCTCTACCATTGCACCTTTATTCAACGCCCAAAGGATGCACTCCCCAACACGAGAACAGTACGGTTGGTAGTGTAAGCGACAATTCGCTTTGAAGGGCCTTGAGCCAACGCGTATCCAGCCAGTCAAAGAACAAGAACATTGGACAAGATGACGGTACTATTAACGAACAATCAGGAAGCAATAATAATACAAACCTCAATAGCAGCACTTCCATTCAACGCAGTTTCAAAAGAAATACAACTCGGTCCGAGACCAACAAGAAAGGGTTTCAGGTCGTCAATGTGATACAGTATACAGTACACTGGTTATATAAGACAAGTGAAGTTCATGCGATTGGTCAAACACAGACCGGATGAAGGCCGGCCGGATGCGTGAAATGAGAGTGTGAAGGATGATAATTACACTGCTCGTAATCAGTGTAAGCATGTAAACGCCTGTAGCGAGGGCACGTTTCGGAGATAATTGGGGTGATAGTCGTGCTGATACCGCGAAGATAATTGAGGTGAAGGTCGTGCTGATAAGGCGACGATAATTGGGGTGACAATTGCGCTCGGAGTAGTCCACACTCGATGGTTGGCGGATGGCTGAATTGAACACAAAGCATCGAGAATCCTTCTACAGGTAGCATTTATTTCGTACAAAGGATGTACTGCGATTTGACGGACTGACGCTTAGTGTCCCAGTTTCCCACAAATTAAGCAGCGTCCCTTCAGCCGCATCTTCTGTGAGGGAACTCGAAGTGTCCCGATGTCTTGCGTAACCTATTCCAGTCTCTTGTTCTATCGCTCCTCCTTTGCTCTGTCTTCCGTTGTCAAAGCAGCAACTGCTTCATGTGTAAGCTCCCTCACTACTTGGGCAAGCTCTATCACGCCAGTTCTTTCGGTGGCGTTTACAATCCGGAGACGATCGGCTACCGTCGGAAGGAGACCATCCAAAAACTGTTCCACCAACAGTTATTGTCTTGACTCATCATCCAAGTTAGACAGCGCGCGGGTCAGCAATTCACTTATTTTGACCGCGAAGACGAACGGGTCCGCTTCTGCTCCAAGCCAGGCCGCCTTGAACCGCCGCATCGCGTCTTGGCGGTCGGCCGGGTTGTCGAACCCCGCAACTAGTGTCCTCTTCGCGGTGGCCCATTCCAATTTGACAAGGTCCCTTCGCGCCGCATCCAGAATAGCATTCGCCCTGCCTTTGAGGAGGCTCCACAGCGCAGCCAATTTCGCCCGGTCCTGCTTCACCCCGACTGCCTGCAACATCCTCGAATTGCTCCAAAAATTTCCGTTTGATCGCCATCCTCAAAGGGCTCCGGCCACGAAATCTACTGCTTGCAGTTGGTTACGGTACCATGTTAAGGATGCAACGAGAGGCGGTCAACTTACTTGCTGAACAACACATGCCTGGTTAACACAATAACTCGAACATAGGAACGCGAGTCCAATTTGCGCATGACATTAGCGGCACATTTCCGGAGCGATGCGCCGTTGCAACCTTTCATTCACCGAGCATCTGTTTAGTTTGCCTCGTGTACGTCGTCCGGTTGGTTTTCCACCACATCTCCGTCTGCCGGCGTATCATGATTTACCGTTTCCCTTGTGCGCCTTTGTTGATATACATACTACTCATAAGTAGTGCACCACAAATTAGGACGTCGGTTGGCGTGGGTTTCGGTGATCAGGACTCTGCGTCATAATAAGAACAGTTTCTTCATGCATTCGATCACCTTGCTTCAATGTAACTGACAATGTTAATATGCCTGAACATGAAGAACCACTTTGCAATGGGCACGACTAGTTGTCAGCTTGATCAACAATGCCCACATGCTGGGCCACACCATCGACAAAATCACGATCACCCTACTAGTTCGCAGATGAGTGTTGTGCTATCCGGGATTTCTATATACATCTTTTTTGGTGGTCTCATTCGCCGGCCGGCTACCGCTCTGTCAACCCTAATCAACTCATCCCATTATGTTATAATATATTTTAGAGCGTAGTGCAACACCCGATTACTTAGCTGTTTTGACCGCTGACACATACAATAGTCCAGGAGTAACACCCTTGTTTCAGGGGTGGCTGCTGGGAAGGGTGAAATGACCTTCCAGTCCTCTGACAATTGTCTAGTTGAGCCCCAAGGTGACCTGGTACGGTTGAAACCAAGTGCTTATCTAATCACGGCTATATATTGGCATTCCGTGTTACTTTGCTTCCAGGTCGTTCTGTGCGTATCATGCATCTACTGGACGGAGGAAGTCCAAGAGGCAGTGAATAAGAGCACATTGGCGAACTACAAAGCCAAATGTGACAGACAGATAGAGGAGACTGTGCGACTAGTTCGTGGTCCACTGACAAGCGGTGAACGCATCACTTTGGGTGCGCTGATTGTGGTCGACGTACATGGTGAGTCCCTGCTCCATCTTGAGTTCACTGTCAATGCAAGCTAAAACTTAATCAGGTTCACTGTCTGATAAATTGTTCTGCGCCCCACCCTCTGTACCCACCCACGAGAACTGCGATCGACGAAAACGGGGGACGGGACAAGCAGATAATAGCATACTTTCATTTAGAACCCAGATTGTGGTATATCACTCCCCTCGTTTATCGAGTTTTCGCAGTTCCAATGCGGAATCGAGCCTAAATTAGTTACGGTCGTTATGACCTTCATTCGACTGCATGCTCCTATATCCAAATACTTCCGGCGTGATTTCCACATTGCATCTCTTATTGATCGTCTGACACAGAAAGGTATCGTCAACAATGGAGCTGCCCTGGTCGGAATCAACCAGGAGAAATTGAGTGGGGTCTAACATAGCGTTGTGAAATAGTTGTCAATCAAGGTCGTAAACTTGTCAACTTGTGCGTGCTAATTGTGCAATCCTGTGTTCTGTGTTAAACTGGACTTATCAACTCACACCTGTGCCACCTCTTCGGAAGTACGCTCAATCGCTTCGGATCACCGAACTCTATCCAACGGGATCTAACCCTTCGAAGTGAGTCTAAAGACACGTTTGTAAACCACAAACGACATCTTCGGCTGTTTATTCGCTAGGGCAAACAGTTGAAACCTTGCTTTTTGAGTTTCGTCACTGCTTTTGAGATACCGTTCGACAGAGCTTCTCTAAGGCTGCCAGAAGATTTAACCTAGTACTGCGCACCACTGTTCACCGTAGCTACATTCTATTTTGTCATGTTAAATTTACCACTGCAATTTTACGTGCATTTTACTGCACAAAGCCTGTGCGATTTTTTGTTCCGCCGTGTGCCGAGGAGTCACCACTACTAAACTCGTCCAAATGAGGACAGTTTCGGCTGACCAGGCTTCAAATGAGTCACCCAAACCGTGTGCACAGCGTGATCAAAAGTGCATACAAGCCACCCAACAACGTGTCAGAGAAGTTTGTCCGCCGGAACCGCATAACAACAAACCTAAGGTCAATTGTAGCGCAGACAAGCTGAGAACAGAGATGACCTCAGGAGTCATGTGCTCGTTTTATGTCATTTCTACAACTGAACAAACGTGAACATAAAATGTGACGGATAGAGCACCCTACCGAGATAGGTTGTTGCTCTGTGACGTATGTCCCATAAGATTGTCCAAACGCTTACGATGAGGTGTGAAAGGTTAGCTGTCACGTCAGTAGAGCAAAAGGAACTGATCACGGTATTGGGGGGGAATATATCTGAACTCGAGTTGCAAATCAATGTATTACGTAGTCCCAAACCAATATCTGTTGAAAGACCTAAACTCTCTAGCAAAAATGATATACAGTCCAGCGAAAAGCGAACAGCATTGCGTACCAACAGCAAGGATTGCAGGCCGGTAGAACGGTCTCCCAAATCGCACGAAATGTTTGCAAACAATGCAGGGCTATGCACAAATTGCGCGATCACCTCTGCTATTAGGTGGGCAACGACACTTGACTCCTAAGGATAGTGCGATTAACAGCGTTGTTCATAAACAGTCTTGCTATAGTCTTGGGCTGTCTTCCACACCGGACAAGATAGTCACACCCACACAAATCGCCATTCACAAAGAACCGCAAAACAAACATTTACCACGCAACCAAAAGACGATGACAGTGATATGTTCAAACGTCACAGAGCCCACTAGCGAATAGCTAAAAGGTAGACAAGCCGAGGAGCAAAACCGGTGGGCTGAAATAACCTGCGCACTCGAACTGAAATTTCTCCCAACTAGTCTTACACGCCTTTCAAGAAATCCATCATCTCCACACGTAGGGGAACCTCGGTTATTGAGTGTAAGGTTTGATAACACGCGCAACCTGGAAGATGTTCTCTTAGCAAGCCACATTTTAGTGAACTCTTCTGTCAGTGCCCGCATTTTTCTTGACAGACCATGAGCAGAAAGACAGAAGCGGAAATCCAACCCTACCGCGTCACGCCGAAATGAGATGAAGAAAGTGGTACTGGTTCATGATGTGCCAGTATTGAAGCATGACGATAGCAGTGAACGACAGAAGCACACCGAAGAATGGAGGTACATCGCAGAACTCTAGGACATGCAGAATGTCGTGGCTTTTGACGTCACCAGTCTAATTGCGTCCACGAAATTACCAAGGCAGTGGGCCAGGAGTTTTGAAAGTTAATTTGGCTGCGCCCGAACCGGTAACAGTGACGGTCCAAGCATGGCATGACAACAGGAAACTTGGGCCATCAGAAGTACGATTAAGACCATTCCTTCAGACCACAGACCCAGATACAGATGAGCCAGTCTCGGTTGTACCTATCTCAGATCAGCCAACTGTACAAACGCCTATTTCTAAAAAACTTCAGCAGACAGGCACTATTTGCGCCGGTCACCCCCAACGAACCGAGTTCCAATACGTCAACAATTAAAATGCTGCTACACCAACACTTAGGGGTTGCATTCTAACCTCCCGGAACTGCGCCCGTAGCCTAGAGGTAGCGAGCTTGTCCCGTAATGTTGCGGCGCGGGTTCGAATCCTTGTAGGGGTAGGAGTCCTCACGTTACACTCTGCCCGCGAGCGACTGGTGGTGATCGCACAACAGGAAAGCGCCATCACGGCGTACAGCTGACACGTTTCATGTTTATGCCAGTCATTCGTAATGATCGTCCATCTAGCGGTCGTGCTATCGCTCTCTACTTTCGAGGTTACTTGAAATGTGAGGCATTTACCGAACATTCCCTTGTTATTCCCGACGCACTATTTTTCCGACTGCACCTAGAAGGTCGACATGTTTGGTCACAGTAGAAGACGTGTGATGCTTGCCTCTTAGCGATTATCTATAGGCCTCCGAGCTCGTCAGCAGACAGCGATAACATTCTGTCAAATGCTCTCCGCTATGCTGTTTCACAAAAATAATCTCACTTTATAATGCGTGGCTTCAGTGTGCCTACAATAGCACCAGTGTCCTCTAATGGGCCATCATTTAAGTCGAAATCCTTGAATTCCTGGACATGACAGTTTTGTACAACTATGTGCATTGACCAACCAGACCCCGCGGTTCAAACGAGCCATCAATCCTGAACTTAATCCTGACTAATGAAGAGTTGATGGTTGCGTCAGTAGCATCCGATCCCCCACTGGGCCGTAGCGAACATTCAGTCCCAACGTTTGATTATGTGGGTTATGTCAGTATTGTTGATAAAGGAAGAGCGACTCAAGGAACTATTACGGACTATTTTAAGCTGCACAACTTAGCGACGGGCGTTGACTGGGACCTACAGATGCACAGTTTGGCGAACGGGGCATAGAGTGAATATAAAGCTAAAATTAAATGGGTCATCCAATCAGCATCACAAGTTGTGCCATTACGAGCAGCGCGCCGGACCAATACGTGGATCCGAAACAGTACATTTAAATGGATCAACGGAAGAGATGAGATCCAGAGGCAACCTTAGCTAAGCCCATGTGATATCACATGGCAGAATTATAAAGCAATCAGAAACTACTGCACGTCGCTCTTTAGAGTCGATAAGTACGAATGGCAACACCATGGTGCTGAAATTTACGATTATCACCCAACTACTATACAGATTTGTACATGGCAACAGAAAGATGAAGTCCGGAATATCACCACTCAAGACGGCCAGTGGCCTAACAAATACTGATGTGGATGGCGCGAACGCTCTACTCCTGCAGTTTGGCTCGGTAGTTTCAAATGCCATGGAACCTTCGCCTTATCAACTCCCAACAACTGTTGTTGACTTAACAAACGTCAGCTTTACCTCAGCAGTTGTTGCAAGCAAATTACAGTCTCTCCGGGAATACAATGCCCCTGGAATCGACCTGATTTGCCCAGCAGTACTTAAAACGCTTGCTCCCACCATAGCAGTACCACTTGCAGGCTTTTTTCATGGCCTGCTTGACTCCCATACACTCCTATCCGAGTGGAAAAATGAATTATCACTCCAATATATAAAGGTAAGCGATCGGATCCTGCCAAATACCGACCTATTACTCTCCTTCCTGTTTTATAAAAAGTGATGGAATCGGTACTGGCAGATAAACTAACTTGATCCTTTGAAAGTCAACAAATAATTCCAGATGAGCATCATGGTTTCAGACGCAATCTTGTCTCACCAATTCGCTGCTTATTCGGGACTCATGTACCAGGGCAGCTGTTGCAGGAGTCCCAATAGATGTGATTTATCTGCATTTTTCTAAAGCATTCAACTGAGTCGATCATTTATTTCTCCTCCGAAAGCTTGCTGCCTACGGTATAAACGGTTCCCTGCTCACCTGGTTAAAGGAATAATTACACGACAGAGCAATCAAGGTAAGAGTAGCCGACACTCACTCTAAAAGCCTGTGCGTCTCCAGTGGTATACCGCAAAGATGCGTCCTCGGCCCGCTACTGTTTGTAGTCCACATTAATGACCTTCCAGCAGACATTCTATTCCCGATGCAAATATTTGCAGACGATGCTAAGATATGAAGAGCCATTCGCTAAGCATCCAACCGTGTCTACCTCCAGGAAGTTCTGATTGGGATTAACGAATGGGCAGAAAAGAACCAGCTGCCACTGAACCCTGCAAAGTGCCACCTGCTGATGTCACGCAGCAGTTTCGTCAACACATACCTTTTGGGGCAACACGTGACTAGTGAACGCGACTTAGGCATAATCGTGCAAGAGAGTCTTGGCAATTCGGTCCAATGTTCGAAGGCAGGAAGTGTGGCGATCTTGAACTTGAAGCGATTACAAGGCCCTAGCACATCTAGGCGACTGGTTCCACTGCATGCGAGTTCCGCTGGCATTTTCGAATTGCACTTATCCGGATACGTAATAACGCCGAACTCAAACGGCTCCTCCGAGAGGATTATGATGCATGTCATTGATATAAAGCAGTCAGCCAGCTTGGTGTATTTCTGAAAGCCTTTCCTCCTGATCCGATCTACTGACAGCAAAAGGCCAACTGTGTGCGAGACTTTATGCGTAATCAATGGTGAGCCCATCCACTGTCAACAAAATCGAATTGTGCCTTGGGCTGAACACTTTGAGCAACAGTTCAACTGGCCTGAAGCACCGATGATTTCTCATTCGGAAATCCGCAGTGCTCCCTGGTGTATAGAAGCTTCACCGTCATCGGAGGCTAAGGCTGCCTGCTCATGAGCTTCGCCTTTTAAAACGCTACAAAGCTTCTGACCCAGATGAACTCACTCCGGCTCTTTCAAAGATGAAGGTCCTTCACTTGTTCAGAGATTTGGGTCACTGAAACTATCCTATCTGATCGGAGTCTAGCGGATATCGCGCCAGTCTTCAAATTGGATGCCCGGAGAGAATACGCTATTTAACCTAGGGAGTAGTCTCATCTACATTGCATCTATAGTGCTTGCCGCCCTGCTTCTAAGGTGGCTCAGCCTGGTACGCGAACAGCACGTACGCGAAGAGCGAGCTAGGTTCCGCTCTGCCGGAGTTGTGTCGATCATATCTTTACTCTCCGCCAAATAATCGAGCGTTGTCAAACATTTGGCCGGTCAACAATCGTTGTCTTCTTGGATATACGAGCCTACTTTGACTCAGTCGATAGAGCTGCTCTCTGGTGTTGTCTACTGAGAACGGGAGTGCCCGAGAAGTATGTCAGCTTACCATCGACTCTGAAACTTTGGGCCGAGTGCGGGTGTACGTCGGACTTTCGCTCCCCTTTAGTATCACCAGTGGTGTGAGACAGGGTTACCCAGAATCCCCATCCTTGTTCACTTTTGCTATGGACGAGATCCTGGAGAGCGCTGTGGAGAACTGCGGACCAAACAGCGTCGTGCTGCCTCCCGGAGGACTGACTTCGGGATTTGGAGTATACAGACAACATCCCCGTAATTTGAGATTCCTCACAGGCCGCCCAAAATGTGCTGTGCAGGTTGAAAGTCTCTGTTCCCAGTTTGAAATGACCTAGCCCCTTGGAGGTGTAAGGTCTTCGTACAGGACAGGCTAGGAGCTGCTCCCACCCTTACGCTTGTAGGTCATTCTTTAGATGTGGAAGAGAAGTTCATTCACCTCGGATGCTGCATCAGCGCTAACGGTTTAACGGATGAGGTCTCTTTGTGCGTCTCTAAGATCCGAATTGCGTTTGCTAAGCTCCACCATCACTGATCTCGACACGACCTGAGTCTCTCCTTGAAGTGCCGGGTCTACAATGCCACGGTGGGAGCGGTCCAGCTCTACGCTTGCGATACTTGGCCTGTTCGTGCAAAGGAAATTCAGACGCTGTAGGTTATTGCTCACCGCTGCCTTCGGAGCATTGCTTGTGTACGATGGCAACACCACACTAGTAATAAAGGTGTTCGACGAAGGATTTTCGGATCAGTCAGACTTTCCCGGAAACTGAGTAGCATAATTTCACTGCCTAGGCTTCTAGGACTTGGACAAGTGTTTCGCATGGCTGCTGAGCGTTTGCCTCATTGTGCACTCTTTGCACGCACAGAAGTCGGCTGGAAGCAAAAGAAAAGTATTCGGCGAATGACTTGAGCCAATAGCATGAAGGCGCCGACCTCAAATTTAGCCTACAAGCGCTCTCGACTCCCTGGCTTGGGGCGCATGGATCACGTACAGCCATGGCTGGAAACCCACTCGGATATGGCAATAAAGCGTGCACAATGACGTACATGGTTGCAGTTTTACACTTCATTCTCTACGCTCTTTATTCCTTCATTATTTTTGTATTATAGTTGTCCATAGGTTGTGGCGCTGTGCTATTTGTACTTTTGGCTAAGTCTTGAATATATATATATATATATATATATATATATATATATATATGCATTACTCGAGTTATTTCCTTGGTTATCTTTCTCTCAACTGATTGGCTGTTGCTTGATATCTCCGATGTGGCTGCGCTTGATGTGCATGTTGACAAGGTGCCTACCTGTCTATTACCCACTACCTCGTCCATACTGGCTCCAGGAGACAGTTGGTCGTTGCTGGAGGGGACGGGGTGCACGGTCCTTGTGGCCGTGTTAGGATCAAAGAGTGGTTCCATGCAGTCAGTGTGGAGCGGACTACGGTCCAGCCACCGCCTTGTGTGCTCTTGATTCCCAAATACAGTGTGCTTGTGTTTGCCTGTGAAGGAGTGTGGGCTGGCTCCGTTCATGAAACGTGGTTCCCATCCACATGCCTGCAGGTGTTATTCCTTCAGGTTTACACTGGATATGGGGTGTGTGGTTGGAGCTGTGGGTGGTGCAGCGCAAGCCATCCATGGTCCTTCTGTAGGCGCAGGCGTCCTGTGGCTTGCCACAGTGACAGGCAAATCCGAAACCGGATGCCGCCAACCATATATATATATATATATATATATATATATATATATATATATATATATATGCTGCAGTCGGTTAACCGATCGCTCAGGTCTAAGTCAATATAATCAGTATTTAATGGCAACTTAGGTAGGTTCACACATAGAGATAGGCAACTGCTTTTTGTTGCAACGCTCTCCCGAATATGGGAACTTCTGAACCATCACCCTTTGCAAAGATACTGATAACGATGAAAGCTTGATGTTCTTATTAAATAGACTTTACTAGCTGCCACCTGGTAGACAAGAATAGTGTGGAAGATTAGGATTTCGCCGACGCAGGTGAGCCCATACATTCGGCCCCCAATGTACGACTTCGTGAATCGAATAAACTACAAGTTGGTGATGGGCGATGCCCACATATATACGGTCGTCCACTCTGACTGAGTGACTATACAGTATCAGCGCAGCATGTAGTGTGAGTGAAGTCCGTTTTGAACCCACGAGAAACACATGATTACAAAATGAATCCTGTGAGTTCTTTGACTAAAGTCTTGGACGCCTCCATGATCCACCGATTTAAAAAGGATATGTTGACCCCAGGAGTGTGTATTCGCTGCTTGGAGCCATCTGTTGCTGATTTCTTTCCCATTCGGGACTGTGTTTCTGTCCGCAAATTTTGTCTGTCCGTTGATCACGAATTTCACCTTGCAACCATGAGACGTTCATACAAATTCTGATACATCTGTCTGCTCTAACAAAAGCAGACCGTTCACAGGGTGCAACATTGAACGCCAGTGAGGGGAACGATACACTATCCTGCATTTGACTACAGTCCCACTGGTTAAAATGACGTATACTTTCCTTAGACTAACTCGGCTCCAATTGACCTCTTAAGCCGCAGTCCCTTCGCGTAACATTAGCAGGGGTTGATGCTTGGAAAAATGTAACTCCTAAACGCTGTTGCAACCACTGATTCAGGAAGAGGATGGTTCACTAAATTGGGCGTGAGGTCGGTTACTAACCGGTCCTCTAGTCAAATCTCAACTAAAATAGGTTAGATAAACACAAGGCTAATCACGAAATGCACCACTGAAGGACAGCGACAACAGCCTTCATTCATGAGAGCACTCCGCTTGCCGAGTGTAATAAATAGCTGACAACCAAATTCTCTTTTCAGTGCTAACGTCCAAACATTGTCATGAATTATTATTCCGATTGAGCTCATTTACCACAACCTTGACATTATAAATGGCGAAACCACCCGGAGAATACGAGTAGTAAGCCTTGAACACCAGCTTACGTAAAACAATCGGCAAATATAAAGCTACCACACTAAGAAGCCACCACCCATCACTTGCTTGGGCGAACCTAGACAATTGTATGACTCTGCCGTTCCACTGCTGGTATCGATGGTGGTGCTGCGTAGTCTGCCCATTTGTAAGGCATCTGTCTCAACCGCGAATCAATCATTGTGTCATCAAACTGCTCTTAAGGCGAGCTTGCGAAGCGCCCAGTTCACATGTACTGCTTACTTCTTTTCTCTTCTAGCGCGTGATGTTGTCACCCAGATGGTTGAACACGACGTCCGTTTCGTGCAAGCATTCGAGTGGCTCAGTCAGCTGAGGTACTATTTCGAAGCAGAAGAAGCCACGAAAGTCACCGTCTGTCAAATCACCACGGAACTGAACTATGGGTGAGTCGGTTTGTCAAAATGTTGTATTTGACTCCAGCAATCATGTCAAACTCCGATCGAAGGCATGCAGTTTGCCCCCAACGTTGCGTAATCATGATCACCAAGACAACTGTGCGGCTGCTGCAAGCTCGCACGAAATTGCGCCGTAAAGTAAAACTATGTGCCTTGGGGGAAAATACTCATCTACATATGCAATCACATTATGGACCTACGCATTGGAATTTGATTGGTTATTCAGACACACCCATCGAGCGCCTTTAGTTGAATAAAAACGGTTGTGATGTGCAACGCTTTCGTGATCATCACGGCGAAGGAATTCCTCGGCCACTGGCAGTGCCATTGCAAGCGTTTGGAGTACTGTGGAGCACAACACTGGACTGCGTCTAACTCGAACGCATCCACGGGTCGACAGGTTTTTCGTAAGACAATTTAGGGTCACAGCATCACTCAGTTGAACCGTACTGTCACGTCTCGTTGTTAGCACAGAAGTGAGTCCTAGTGGAGCCCTCATCCTCGACAGCTCATAAACGCGCCAAGCTGAATTGGACGGATTAGCGACTAGAGGGATCAGAACGTGCTTCGATGCACTCATTCAATGTTGAACGGACCAGATACGGTCCCAGTGATCACAGTGAGCAAGATTCACTTCAACATGAATTGCGGTCCACATTGAGATTTCGCGTCTCAACGTGAAATCCAAAATGACCATCCAATCGACCAGTTAATTTCTTTTTTAAAAACGCAGACCGCTGCGCTATGGTTTTTACTGATACGTCACGCACATAAGCAGAGGATGAAACTGACGGCGTGAGATTCATCGCTTAAGATCATCCGATGGTGGGATAAGTGTAGCTGCGTAGAGGCAAATGGTTAGCTTGAAGCAACCCCCGGAAATATGCAGGTGATTAACCGCCTGAAGTCTGATTGTTGGGAAAGGACTTTACTTCTTGGTGTTCATTTATTTGGAAACCACCATCGCCTGCAGTGATAAGGCGGCCCCGAGGTCTATGGGTTGCTTGTTGGTCTCAAGTGAGCACAATGTAGAGAAACGCGATTTTAGACCGAGATAATTTTCGGCGATGATGTCTGTCTGAGAGATGGGTAGGCCCCGATCCAGAAGTTTAGAGCCATGGGTTAAGATTCCCTAGAAGGTTTGAGTGGCAAACGGCTGTTATGGTGCGCACGAACTTAGTCCACTCTAATTGATGTGGATATTAACCGTTATGGCAAGCGTTATCTGTCATGACTCATCGGGTTAGGGCTACTCTTTGGTTGACGCCCCAAAATCGCATATCCAACTCGCAGTCCTGCTGACTTCAAACATATACGAAACTGGTCATAGAGTGCAGTGCTGAGAGCAAACAGCCCATAACGCTTCAGATGACCGAATTCCGCTTCAAAATGAATAGCGGTTTCAATTGAGATTACCTATCGCGACGCATTCACACAGCAGACGCTTCAAAATGATCACTACAATGACTAATAGCTCTGTCCTGTGAACCCTTTTCGTGCGGGCATTTTGACTGAGATGAGCAATTACAAATGCTACATTGCATTTGACTTGATTGTCCCCCTTCGTCCCCGCATCTAATGAATGCTGGTAGCATTCATTTTCCCCGTTGGCGCCTTACGGTTAGGTTGTTGCGCCAAATGATTCGCTTTCGACGCTTGTTCTCATTTGATCATCGATCCAGTCCGTAGAATTGCAGTCTGCTTTGGCGTACGTTCTGCAACGGGTTTTTCAGCAACCCATCTGTTGTTCAGCCTAAGTGACCTCTTGCAAACCAGTAAAGTGTATGATGGCTGAAATCAATCGCAAGTACTTGATGCGGCGCGTCGGTAAGGTAATCAGTTACACCAACACTGCGGCTGCTGGGACACATGACGTATGGTGATTGTATTTGTGTTGAACGAATGCACTATGCGTGTGTTGCAGCCTACCTGACGTTTATTAATTCGTGGTATGCAGTGTCTGGCTGTGATTGATATTGCACAGAATGGTCAGACCACATAATCGGCCCGTGTCTCGCACTGTCGAGAAATCTATCATTTGTTTATTTATTCATGTATTAAATGCCAGCAAAGTCATCGCCTCTCCTATGCTGCCACTCCAATTACTGGCTTCCAAACATTTCTAGTTTTCTTTGGAGTTCTGGAGTGCACAATCCCCTTGAGTCCACCCCGGAACGGTTTAAAGCTCCACTGCTACTGTATGTGTAATTGGCACACACGTTTTCCAACATTCTACACTGTTGCTTTAGCGTGCCGTAGGAGTGTGAGCCGCCTCCGGCCCGATCGTGTCCCCTTTTCGTACACCTCGCACCCCTATTCCGCTGGGGTTGTATTGGTTGAGACATATTTGGATGAAATTATCGGCAGTGCACAGTAAGCCACCTCGGTGTCCTGTGTCTGTTTGCAGTCAGAGTGATAGAAAAATCTAAAAACTGTCAGTCAGCTTGTAGTACTGTCCGGAAAGAGACGGACCTAAGTAACATTAAACGTGAGCCGAGTTGTTGCTTCGGAACGGAGACCGCGGTCACAAACGTGATTCGTACATTTCTTACGGGAGATTCATTGTCATACGGCACTTCGTCATTCACGTGCTTTTGGCATTTATGGTTTAGGCCAATTTCTCGTTAGAGTTAGTTGCACTATTTCCCAACATCCGGTGGTGTGGTATGAAGTTTGGCATTGTTAGATACGCAGAACTCTGTCCTTCAGGGAAAACGGTTTATTCAACCAAACAATCCCAGTTAAAATGATAACTGGTTCGTAGACAGCTTCGATGTAAACAACTAGGCCACTTCCATTACTAACGAGGTTCCCCCATTCATGCGATTCTTCCTTTATTTCGATCAGTCTCCAGCACATCAATTGGTCAACCATCGTAGACGCAGAGACGCCTCATAGGCGTCTAACCATCTGCTCCATTCGTTGGCAGACATCTAGGTGCTTGTTTAATCACATAAATCAATCTCGTTCCTCTGACTTTATGCTCTAACCACACTCTACACACGCGATAGGACAATTTGTTTCTTCCTTACTGGTGGCGGCTCACAGTCGGGTAGCCTCGGGTCGAATGGATTAGATGCACTTTGAATAGAAATGACATAAAGGGAATAATTACAGTGTACTTCAGGTCTGAGCAACGGCATCCGTGTGCTCCTTATTCTGTGACCTTTTGAGTCAGTATTGTTGAGATTCCAGAGTGCCCCGTGTGTGTGTGTGTGTGTGTGTGATTTCTGTAGTTCACCGTCAACTGACCTGGTGAGCATTAAGCTCAAGAGGGTATTTCCTTTCCACATCCTACTTCACGACTAGGTGAGTGCCGTCCATTGTTCAGCAAATCGTATTCAACCTGCACCTGACTACCCAGGAATATTCACGAAAGTATCATGGTGTCTGAATCATTACTTGAGTCGGATGACCATTTCATCAATGAGCCCTGATACAAGAGATCCCTTTGTGGTGGCTTTCACATACTTACAGATCTGTCCATGTTACATAGAATTTAAACATTAATTGCTCCCAACCAGCTACATGCAATTATGGGTCTGTGGTGACGGAAGGACCATCCGATGCCCAAACACAGCCGGTCTGTAGCCGAGTTTCATAAATGGGCGACTAAATCAAAACATTATAAACAATTTCCTGTTATCGATCGTTTGGGTTACCATAAAATGAGTCAAAGGGGAACTCATGACCAGCCCCACCATAGTTTGGGGCTTTTAGCAACCTAATGCAGTAACAAAGTGATTGATGATCTTACCATCGGTTCGCTGGCTACGCGTTACAGCCGTCCTGCTTAGTGATTCCGACGTTTTTAATCTTGTGTTGACTTCCGTTATTTCCTCCTACTTCCCTCACTTATTGTTATTGTCATTATTATTATTCCTGTTGTTGTTATCTTGAAGTGCATGATTATGACAACTATGCTCACTGTACTCCGTTTGTGGCAGAGTTTAGGGATTGAAATAAACTAAACTCTAGTTAATGGTTATTTCCGATTACCTCTTTTTGTCATTTTCCAGCAATGAACCTTCACTCTCTAAGGTTTGCGTCGGTGGTTTTCGTTTGCCATCACTTCTCAAGTCAGCATCTTGCCAATCCCTCACGGGAGTTCAAATGAATGAGTACAAATCGACACTAACCAACCACACTGTTTTATCTTAGAACGCGGTATTTGTTCACTCGTATGCTTCTATTTGCCTTGTCTACAGGTATGAATATTTAGGCAACACACCGCGCTTGGTGATAACTCCCCTGACCGATCGATGCTACCGGACACTGATGGGTGCACTGAAGCTGCATTTGGGAGGCGCTCCCGAGGGTCCTGCAGGAACCGGCAAAACGGAAACTTCTAAGGTAAATTTGTCCCTTCTCTATGCCGTTGTTTGTCACCGAAGCGATCACTTATTTGCGTATCAACATTTGAAGTGTAAGGGGTTACCCATCGACCAATTTCACTCGTTCACTGAACCGAAGAACAGCGCTGAAAACCGGCGACCTGCATTTCGAAGTGTCAGAAATGTGTTGACCTTCAGCGTTGTCTCACAGGTTGCAACGTGCCCCAATGGTAGGTTATGTTTAGGGTATAGCAATGCCACACTCTATGGTGATTGTATTTTTGGACACGACACAAATTAAGTTTGTAGTCATGGTCCCCAACAGAGAATGTCTGGAGGTGAATGACTTTACAACTACATACTGGTATGCAGTCTGTCAATTTTACATCCCCGTTCATCACGATCCCGACAATATCCGAAGCCGGCATGAGCCTATTTTAACGCGATGGAACAATAGGTTAAGGACTTAAGTAGTATCAGTCGGGGTTTCATCAATTCACTCAAAGTAAGCGCATTGCTATGGAACTAGTAAGAGTGCAAGAACTGACAAATTCGATCTGTGATGAACTTTCCTGAAATTCATCAGCTATCTTACCATTCCGCGAAAAATCACCGATTGCCCCAGTGCTTTGCGGTTGCGGTTTTCTCATGAAGTCCAAGCTGCTATCTGAAGGACCATAAAGTGCAAGGGAGTGAGGGAGGCAACCCCCCTACGTCGTGATCAATAGCTTAGATACATAAGTCACTACCGCCGGTGGAGGCTTAACAACACAAGTCGTTGATCTGCAACCACACAATGATTGGTTCGATTACTGAGAGAACCAGGTTGAATGCACACTGCCGACGTGTAGCAGTGGAACAAACCGACCGCCCATTGTCTTTGGGTATACGCGATGGTTGTGATGTATCTTCTGGGAAGCTCACTAAACACGTTTGCGGTGGTTCCGTAAAAAACCAAGGGTCTTATTCTCCCGAAGCCAACCAAACCAGGAAGCAGGTGGAGAACACGCAGTTTCATAGAACTATTCATTTTTCTATGCTGTTCGGTCTTCAGAGCTGTGAGACACTGTTTCGGTATTCTTCCAACTTTTCCTTACGGTAAGACCATCTCTGCTAGCGTGCGAAAATAGTGGTGTAACGGCAGTCGGAATCATAACCTGGGCAGATAGTTTGCAAGGAAAACCCTGTTTTCGATGGTTCGCATAATCGCGTAATCAAACATAATCAAGCCGTCGGAGGCAATATCACTTGCCCTTGGTCATGGTGGCTCGTTTTTGGCATTGAGTGTTATCTACCATTTGAAATATTCGCTTTAAAGTGGAAAGGATTGTCTGCATAGGCTTTTCATCTAACTACTGGCTGAGAGCTTTAGAGTCACAAGACCGTTATTGATAGATTGTTGCAACTTTTAGAATATCCCCTACCACAACGGTGTGCACGAAGTAATGTTGTTGTCGGCATCCGTTTCCACTATTGCTTGCTCCTGTGACTGTGGCCTATCGCGTGGTTCCAGCGTCTATGAAGGGACCGTTGAGGCGTGTGAGTTGCATCATTGAAACATCTGTCTACATAACCCATCCAGTGTAAATCGAAAAGAATGAAACTAGATGGCATACGTAGTGGAGCGACAGGTGATTCGGAGTTGTCCCTACAACTTCAACGTGCTCGTGCTCGCTGCCAAATGGAGGGAAACATGCGTACCAAAAGTTCGCAAGATGGCAGCTAGGCTTTGCTTTCTTTCATGACGAGGCCGCTATTTGATTTCAGCACTGCCATGAAGTATTCACTCGGTCTATTTCGGCAACGGTTAGCACTCACTTGGAGCCAGCAATCGAGGTGGTGGCGTCAGACGAGCTAGGCTCATCAGGCTACTTAATACGGTGAATAGCTTAGAACAACGGGAAGCAGGGGGTCGCAACTTACTGCACGCGGGATGGTGGCGCCAAGTGCTATTCGATTAAAAAGCAGGTCAAGAGCATGGAATCTAAAGAGGGAAAGTTGATGATGTAGCGTTCTCTGGTAAGGGACACTCGATCAACCTAATGGAACAAAATTGTATTGCACCAGCGATCTCATCACTAACGCTCACTTTAACCCACTCGTCAACTTGACACCAGGAGTTTAAATAGTTTAGCGAGTAGCCTGTAACGGGTGCCCGGAGAGCGATTCGAAAAGACAGGTGAGGTTGCAGGGAAACTTTTAGTGGTACACTAAAAGATTCCCTGTTACCTAGCTATAAAAAGACGACACCGTTGATGCTCTAGCTAGGGGAACGGAGGATGCACAGCACACAGGGCAGTCGCACGTTGCAACGGAAGCAAGCGTCAAGCAAAAAGGGCGATGAGCATGTCAAGCATTCGAACTCAGCAATCAGTTCAACCAACCACACCGGTCGCCTAGGTGACAATGAAATAATTTTAGTTAGAATTTTACACCGGCAAACCGCGGAATCTCCAGACTGCTACATAGCCCTCCCACAGAAGGGACTGTGTAAGCAGTCCTTCGATTTACGTGAGGACTGTCCGTCGCAGACTAGCCTTCTGCGAGACCAGGTTGTGAAACCTGATGCAGCTGCTGGGGGAGAACCATGCAATCGGACGCTAGTGGGCTCCCACCCTCGTCCTCCCTACGGAGTCGAAACAGTAAAAAACTGTTTGTGGGGGACAGTTAGTAAAGTTCACGTAGGTGTTTGAGCAGGAAGTTCGTTCCACTTCCATTTGGCGTGCGTGGATCCAGCGAAAACTGAAATCGAGGTGCAACCAACCGACGGTGAAAATGGAAAGCAAAATGAAAAAGCAGCGTAAATATATAGCAGTACACAAAAGAGTGCAAAGCGAAAATAGGTGCAAAGCTGTTTTTGGGTTTTCAAAAGGTTTTGCGCTTTTTTGGTAGTTTCTAAGGTTTTGGTTGTTTTTGTGGATTTTGGAGAACGTTTGGTAAGAGCAGAAACACATGCAAGGAGTGATTTATGGGAAGTAAAAAACTCTAACGAAATCGGAAACGCGTACTGGGGATTCACTTCCCTATCAATTCGATTGATAATGGGTTGTAAAGAGGTCGGTTGAGGCTGTCGGTTCCGCCAGAGCGAACTGACTAGTCTGAGGTTGCAGTACGAACTGTGACGTTCCTTGTTGCACCGAAGGGTCAGACTTGTCGAGGAATGCTGGCTTGAGTCGATCGACGTTGATCCTCTCAGTCTTACTATTGCAGTCAATGGTAAACGTCTAGTCGCTTTTGCGTACGACACGATACGGACCAGAATAAAGAGGTTGAAGTGGCCGGCGTACGCTGTCAGTGCGAAAGAACACGTGCTTGCAAGTAGTTAAGCGTTCGTCCACGTTGCTAAGCAAGCTCTGTGCTCTGGGTTGCACACGCTGAAGTTGTTGCATGTGATGTGATAGGCGAGCTGCGTAGTCGCCATAGTTGAAGATTGTTGGCGCTTTTTGTGAGACGAGTTCACCAGGTAAGCGTTGTGTGCATCCAAAGACTAGCGACGATGGAGTGGCGTGCAAATCCACTTTCAACGTGTTTCTTATGCCTAATAGAATGAGCGGAAGTGCTTCATGCCAGGATGCGCTAGATTGGGCACAGAGTGATGCTTTGAGTTGCCGGTGGAACCGTTCTACCAACCCATTATCTGCGGAGTGTTATGCAGTAATTCGGTTGTGTTGGCAACCAAGAACGTTGAGAAGTTTGCTGAAGGATCCCTTCAAAGTGTGATCTTCAGTCGGTGATGACTACCTTTGGGCAACCGAATTGAGCTACCCAGCGCTCTAGGAAAACTTATGCAACGATCTCAGATGAGCAGTTGACTATCGGGATCGCTTCTGACAAACGGGTGAATTGGTCCACACAGGTGAGGAGGTACAAGTAAATTTTACATGGAGGCAGAGGTCCGACAACGTTGAGATGGACGTGTGCAAAACGAAAGTCGAGCGGGAAAGACGCCAAGTGGGCTTTGGTGTGTCTGTATACCTTGGCGCGCTGACACTCTATGCATGCGCGTGCCCAAAGGCGGACATCGCGGTTGAGGTTGGGCCATACGAAGCGTTCGGTTACGAGCTTCTGCGAAGCACGTATGCCGGGATGAGACAGGTTGTGTAAAGCGTTGAAAACAAGTCGACGAATCGAAGTAGGAACTACGGGTCGAGGAGAAGTTGGTGAGGCGTCATAAATAATGGTCCCCTCAGATGAAGCTAGTGGAACTTCGCGTAGTTTCAACGCGGTGTTGCTTCGTAGCTTGTCTATGTCGGGATCAGCTTGTTGGGCAGCAGCCAAAGCGGCTAGATCAATGTTGGTGCAAGGCGATAAGCTGATCTGCTGAATGCGTGAAAACGCATCCGCGACGGGATTGAGAGCACCTGAGACATGTTGTACGTCTGTCGTAAACTGAGTAACGTAGTCTAGGTGTCCAGTTTCCCGCGGAGAATACTTGTCCGTTGCGTCATTGATTGCGTAGATCAATGGCTTGTGGTCAGTGCAGACTGTAAAATGTCGACCTTCGAATAGTGACGGAAATGTCTGATACCCAGGTAGATAGCTAACAGTTCCCTACGGAAGGCGCTGTAACGCGATTCATCAGGTTGTAAACGTTTCGAGAAGAAACCTAGAGATATCGATCGATGGTCAATGAGTTGTTGAAGAACTGCACCGACGGCAGTCTCGGATGTGTCATTTGTCAGGGATACTGATGCTGATATGTCTGGGTGGGCGAGAAGCGCTATATTGGAGATAGCGTCTTAGAGCTTCTCAAAAGACAATATAGAGTCGTCTGCAAAATGAAGAGTATTGATTACCGCGGATCAAGTCATTCATTGGTTGAACAATGCTCGCGCAGTTAGGAATAAAGCGTCTATAATAGTTGACCAGGCGAAGAAATCGGAGTAACTGTTTGAAGGAACTAGAAACAGCATAGCCCTTCACTGCCTGGATTTGGTCTGGTAGAGCCTCAATACCAGTGGCGAATATTCGCTGGCCACGAAAGTCGATGGGGCTTTGTCCAAGCTCGCACTTATCGGG